AGATGATTCGGAAAGTGAAAAATGAAGAATGCTGAGAATTATGGCAAAAAAAAAAAAAGAAAGATGAAGAATGAAGAATGCATAACGAAAACATTTCATTTCACTTCATTGTAATTCAGAATAAAAATTTGAAAAGAATAAAAGAAGAGATTGAAATAAGATTGAGTTAACATTTAAGCATTATGAGAGGAATAAAAATGAATAGAATAATCGAATTAACATGATTAAATCAAAATTGAAATGGCCGAATTAAAATTAATTTTTTTTTTCAAGAAAAAAGAAACATCAAAAAATTAGAAAAAAAAATAATATTTGAAGGAAAAAATAAGCAAACAAATAAAGTTTTAAATTTCAGAAAGTACAAGATTGGATGATTCATCAAATGAAGCATTACTCTGTCAGATCGATTGGCGCAGTGAATGTTTGCAAGAAAGATTAAAACTTACGAGATGTGTTAATGAACGAATGCGAATATCGGAATTATTGATTGTTAGTTTGATCGAAGCATATGAGGTGAATAATATTTGCAAGAAAATTTTAAATGAAATTAAAATTTTAAATTTGATTTTAAAATTGAAATATTTGATTTAAATTATAAATTTAGGTTGCTGTTCAATGTATGGCAACATTTTCAGCCGTCAAATTAAAGCAACGCATCGATGGTTTATGTTCAATGATTAGTGATTATTTGCGCAATTTTTCTGGTATTTTTTTAAGTCGCTTTTCTATTTTTATTTTTTCCAAATTATTAAGTATCATTAGTATTAAAGATTATTTTGACTTCTAATTAGTGATTTTAATTAATTTAATGATTTCATTTTTCTTTTTTTTTTAAAAAAAAAGATATTTGATCATTTTCAATTTTTTATAAATTAAATTCATGTCTTCCTGACACCAAAAGATAAGGGATGATTAATTTATTAACCAAAAGGAAAGTGAAATGAACCTTTAAATTATCGGCAGATTACTATCAAAAGTATTGCTTGTAATATTAAATACTTTTGGATTTCATTTTATTTCATTATCATTGCTACAATATATGTGAAAAGAAGCAGTATGCTTATTAATTTTATCAAATAATTTAGTAAATTGTTTATCGGATTGTGTGCATACAATAGCATTTGTTGACAATAATAATGGAATTAGAATGTGAATTTAGAATTGGACAAAGTATCATTGGTGATTGAAGAAGGAATCGAACTCTTAAGGCTTATCTATAATGAAGCAAAGGATGAGTTCAATACAACGATACAAAATAATTCGAAAAATGAAGATGACGGAAAAAATGTTAGCTTATTTTCAAGTTTCGACTTAAAAATATTGAATTGAATCTGATAATGATAATAAAGAATAAAAAGCACTTTTCATTTTAATGATTCTAGTGATAAGGAATATTTGTTTTTCTTCAAAAAAAAGGAAAAAGATAACGAGTTACTTTGATGGTTTTGTTACATGATGGTAAAAATTTATGAAAATGTCGAATAAATAATGCAAAAAGACAAAGCTAATCATAATATAAAACTAAGAAATTTAATAAAATCATTATTTTCATGTTTGAATTTAAGAATAAATAAATGAAATCACTATTTCATTTATGAAATTGAGGATGAATCATATGAATGTAAATTGAAATGGATTAGATTTTTGGAAAAATCAAACTTGTTACTAGTTTAATTAAAATAATAGTTCCAGCTTTTTGAATAATTTTTTTCTATTATTCATTTCTTTTCTCTCTTCCTCTCTTTCTCTTTGTATTTGTTTTCTCTAAATCATATAATCATTTTATATAATTTTGATCTAATTTAATTCCTACATGTACATATTAGAGCAAAATATGCTATAACAAAATAAAAGAGAACGAAAATTTTGATAAATTTAAAGTTTCTTTTAATAAATTAAATTAATTTAAAATTGATATTTCAGTTAATGGCAATAATGAACGAAATCAATCTTGTCTTACAGCACTGCAGTTGGTGTGATATTGATAAGACGGAAATTAAGCCAACTGATATGAAAACTGTATGCAATCATTCTAACACAGCTATCATCGATCAAAGCAATACCTCAACAAATGACTTATCATCTGATGACGATGATGGTGATGCTAATGATAATGATAATGATAATGATAATGATCTCTATCATGATGATATCATTGAAGCACGCTTTTAATTATCTTTTCCAAATAATTAATCAATTTTGTAATTTTATTGGCATAAAAAAAGGCAGCCAATTGTAAATAAATTGAAATTTTTTGGAAGAAATAAGAAAGAAAATAATAAATATATGGAAATAGTATAAAAAAGAAGACGAACATTATGATTACGAATAACATTTGTGAAATTTTTTTTGTGTAAAATTTAAAATTTATAAAATTTATTCATTTGAATCAAAATTTTATTTTAAATGAAATTTGATTGAAAGACTATCTCACAATATAAAATTTAATCATATAATTTGCATGTTAATGTGTACAAAGGTGTAAATAATAGAATAAATAAGTTAAACAATTAAGCAACTAAACAAAATGAAAGTAATTCAATTCTCAATAAATTTGTGCTTTCCATATGAAACTTAAATCATTTAATTTAATTTTTATTTCAGTTTTAGATTATTGTTTCAGAAAAAAATTATTAGTCCCATTACTTTGTACGGTGATACACTCAAATATTAAGTGTCTTTAATTCATAATATTAATCTGAATAATTTGTTTCAATATTATTTCTTTTATATAATATAATTCTTGTCGTTTTCTTCTTGTAGAAGATTTATCAAAAATTTCACTATTTTCTGATTAATTAATATTATAGAAATCGTTATTTCTGAGCATAATTAAATATTCAATGAATTATCAAATCAATAGGAAAATTATTAAACACAATGATACCTCAGTGAAATGCTGAATTGTTCGATTTATCAATAACTAACTCTTCTAGTTGATATCAATTCAATTTTTTTTTAATATTACTTTAAGAGTTTTTCTACCACTTTCATTTTTTTTTACGTGAAATGCGCTGCCATTATTACGCTTGAGCATATGGTCGCATCACGTAAAACAAATTGCCCATTTTATTTTTGCATGCAAAATCGATCGATTCATCATGTTTGAAGTCTGTATAGCAGTGACAGGAAATAATCAAAAGGTCAAATAAAGGTAATAAGTTAAAAGATCTTAAATCTTAAATGATATGACAATCGTTGGCATAATTATTACCTCAAGAATTATCTTAAAACTTTAAGTGTGACATTTTTTTAAAGAAAAAAGAGAAAACTCTCTGTTCGAGAATCTCAAATTTTCATTGCAAAAATTATTGCTAAAAAATTTACCGCAAAAAGGTAATAAGCAGTTAAATGCTTAATAATGCGTCATCAATTCAGTGACTCAAATTGATTTGATAATTCCGCAATACGATGGAATAATAAACACAAAGTTAATGTTTTATTTTCAACGAATTGAAATCTTAACAACCTTAATGCTGTCATTCCTGAATAATTCACCGGAAGACAATCAGGAATTAATCTTCAACCTGTTCAATATAAAGTGCATATTAAAAAAAGAAATTAAAATCCGAGATATTTATTCCAGAAGTATTCAATCATAATTATATTTATTCGAAAAGCAAACCTTCCGGTAAAACTAATTATTTCGGCCTCAAAAAAAAAAGCTGGAACCCAGATTAACTCACCAATTCAGAAAATTTTTTTCTTTAATTTCAGAAATTGATTTTACTTTATTATTTATTTCTTTTTTTCTTGTCTTCGTTTGGGGTTTTCCTTAAAAATTAAACTATCATATTTTGAAAGGAGAAAAATGACTATTTGACCGTAAGGATATAACTTCAGTAATAAAAAAATTCAACTTCTTTTTTTGAAAGCAACTAGCAATTTTCTTTAACAAAAGAAAATCCATAACAGTTGCATATGTTTTTTTAATTTAATGTTAACGAAATTAAATACATCTGCAACATTCTGATAGCAACAACAACAACAACAGAATAAAAAACAATAAATAATAATAAAAATAAGTATAAAAATGAAAACAAAGAGAGAAAAGCAACAATTTTTAAAAAAATTCATTCTGACAAATCTGATAAAATGACAACGAAATGTCTATTCTTACATTAATACTGGGATAATAAATTAAAGCCGTATGGTACTACCAGCAAAGGATATTATCATATGATAATGATAGCAAAGATGGTGGAATAATCAACGATTGATTTTGATATGTGATAAGACTGATCTACATCAATTGATACTATATTATAAGTGATAATGTCTTAAATAATATAAATATGATGCATGTTTAGCTTGTACAATACGATCTATTCAAAAGTGAAAGTATTATTTGAACAATTAATTGAAATGTTGAACTTCTGAAACAATATGACAAAAGTTTCAATTTAATAAGATTTTAAAATTTTCGCTATGATAAAATTTTTAGAATTTTAATGGAATTAAAGGATGTTTTATTGAAATAGAATTTTCATTTTTCGTTTTTTTTTTTTTTTTTTTTTATTTAATATCTGAAAATAATAAATCAAATAAATAAAAGTCAAAAAACTTGTTCTTCCTTTTTTCTCATCCGATCTATACGGGGAGAATAAGAAGGAAATTCAATCACTTACGTGGCCTGTAAAAGGATCGAAATTATTAGATTACACGTAAGTGAACTGATTTAATTGAACAGATGTAATTGAGAATGTGATTGAAAAAGCGGCAATATTCGAATTCCATCGATTAACTGTTTACACTCATTTCTGCTTTCACTATTACTTTGTGAAAAATTGACCCACTTGATCCTTTGACCTATACAGAAGTGACCTTCACCATTCATGTAAGTTACGTGAATTACTAAGTTATACGTAACTGGACAGATGTCACATGGAATTTAATCAATGATAATATTTAAATGCTGTCGATTAACAAGGAATACCATTTCTATTTTTATCATTACGTGCTATTAGCCAGCCCATTTGACCTGTATGGATAGTATAGTATTATTGATTAGCAATTTGCGCCATATCTATCCCACTAGGTTGATTAGCAATTTGCGCCATATCTATCCCACTAGGTTGATTAGCAATTTGCGCCATATTTATCCCACTAGGTTGATTAGCAATTTGCGCCATATCTATCCCACTAGGTTGATTAGCAATTTGCGCCATATTTATCCCACTAGGTTGATTAGCAATTTGCGCCATATCTATCCCACTAGGTTGATTAGCAATTTGCGCCATATCTATCCCACTGGGTTCCGATACCAACCGATTTGGCCAGAATTTTCTTTTAAATAATTCAACATCAATTTCAAAATTTTTACTTCAATATCAAAATTAGTAGAAATTTGACATGTAAAATAATTTTTTTAACGATTTAAAGAGTAGCAATAATGATATCGATGAAACAAACATGAAATTAATAATGGTTTGATTAAAATTAATGAATTCTAATTAAGTGGTAAGGTTTCTGAAATTAATGCAATATATGTCAAAAACAATCAAACTTTTTTTCTTCAATTTTTTCTCTTTTCTTATCCCAAAAATTCTTCGAAAAAAACAAAACATTATTAGTTGGATTTTTATTTTTACAACTTAATTAAGCTAATTTTCTTTCATTTAGTTTGCTTGGGTTTTTTAAATCAACATTTACCCACTTATCATTAAGAGATAGTAAAATGGCATTTTATAATAATTTTAGTAAAAATTCCATTAAAAAATGATCCGTCTATTATTTCATTGTTTTTTGTAAAATGATGAATAAAATTTATAAATTTATTTTGAAAAAATGCAATTAATTATAAAGAAAAATTTTTCACTGATATTTAGCTTAAAAAAGGGCAATATTTTAATATAGCAAACAATTTTTCATTTGCAATTTTTTCTATTTTATATCGTAGAATCAATCCATTTGCATTCTATCGCTCAATTAATTCCACTCTATTTCAGAAAATTGTTCCATCACAACAAGTTTTGATTAGCAATTATGACAACTTAGTACTTCCCAATATTTTTATTTTTATTTTTGCGCCATATTTAAAAAAAAAGGAATTTAATTTCTGTCATTCGTTCCAGATAATACATTGATTTTTGAAGAGAAATTTGTTGAAACAAATTAATTAATTACTTCTTTTAAACGAAGTGCATATTCATGAATTTATATTATAATATCGTTTAATTGTATATATTGTCGGTATTTCAATATGAATTTCACATTTCAATATTTTAGCAATTAGAGCAATAAATTTGCAGCATTTTAGTATATCTGAAAAAAAAAAAAATTACAAATGGTAAAGGTGCGTACTAAATTAAGAAAGGAAAGAAATAATTAAAAATGGCTTTAAGATTATGCGAATAATTCGAAATTACAGAAGTAATATATTTCTGAACTTGTTTCACAGAAGCGCCAAGTATAATTGGAAGCGAAAATGTATTAAGTGATGAATTTTAAATTACCGAATTATTCCATTTTTTTTGAGCAAAAGTAATTGAAAATATTTCGAAGCTTTAAAAATTTTTCATACAAAATTTACAATATAGTCATTTAAATTTCACTTCTTGACATAATTCAATTCAAATTAAATAAATTGTGAAAATTTTGCTTCATTTTATCTGTTGCAAAATTTCTGTTATTTATTGTTATTATTATTATTATTATTATTATTATTATTATTATTATTATTATTATTATTATTATTATTATTATTAAATTATTATTATTATTATTATTATTATTATTATTATTATTATTATTATTATTATTATTATTATTATTATTATTATTATTATTAATTAATATTATTATTATTATTATTATTATTATTATTATTATTATTATTATTATTATTATTATTATTATTATTATTATTATTATTATTATTATTATTATTATTATTATTATTATTATTATTATTATTATTATTATTATTATTATTATTATTATTATTATTATTATTATTATTATTATTATTATTATTATTATTATTATTATTATTATTATTATTATTATTATTATTATTATTATTATTATTATTATTATTAAATTATTATTATTATTATTATTATTATTATTATTATTATTATTATTATTATTATTAATATTATTATTATTATTATTATTATTATTATTATTATTATTATTATTATTATTATTATTATTATTATTATTATTATTATTATTTTATTATTATTATTATTATTATTATTATTATTATTATTATTATTATTATTATTATTATTATTATTATTATTATTATTATTAAAGGTTATTATTATTATTATTAGAAATTATTATTATTATTATTATTATTATTATTATTATTATTATTATTATTATTAAATTATTATTATTATTATTATTATTATTATTATTATTATTATTATTATTATTATTATTATTATTATTATTATTATTATTATTATTATTATTATTATTATTATTATTATTATTATTATTATTATTATTATTATTATTATTATTATTATTAAAATATTATTATTATTATTATTATTATTATTATTATTATTATTATTATTATTATTATTATTATTATTATTATTATTATTATTATTATTATTATTATTATTATTATTATTATTATTATTATTATTATTATTATTATTATTATTATTATTATTATTATTATTATTATTATTATTATTATTATTATTATTATTATTATTATTATTATTATTATTATTATTATTATTATTATTATTATTATTATTATTATTATTATTATTATTATTATTATTATTATTATTATTATTATTATTATTATTATTATTATTATTATTATTATTATTATTATTATTATTATTATTATTATTATTATTATTATTATTATTATTATATCACTATTATTATTGGTTACTATTATTGATAAGAAATGAATGTCTGTTTTATGTTTACTTTTTCATTGTTATTATTTCTTGAAAATGTTTTACAAATTATGTTTAATTTTATTGCATATATACTTTGTTTTCCAAATAAAATGTTTTATAGCGATGAATGAATTTTTCTTTTCATAAGATGGAAAGGAATGTTCCTCATCAGTTAAATTTTGAATATATTTTAATGAATTTGCATTTGCCTTTGGATGCTATTTCTATTTCACTCTTATCAATTTAATCATTCTAGGAGGACAAGAAAATTCTTTCTTAACATATTTCAGCGATTGTTAACTTTCTGCTTCTCTCATATATATTTGTAATAATAACGAGAAAAATGATTGATAGTTTTGAAAATTATTCTTACTTAAATTATTCAAAGAAAACAAAAAATTGTTAATTTATTTAGCACAAATGGAGTGAATATATCCTCAAAATACTGCTCATCTCTCCCTCTCCCTCTCTCTTTCTCTCTCTCTCTCTCTCTCTTTCTTTCTCTCTGTCTTTCTTTCTTTTCTCGAAAAAATATCCATTGAAGAGAAATGAAAAAAAGCTTTCCAATAAAAAAAAAAAAAAAAAAAAAGAAAAGGTTCGAATGTGTTTTAAAAATGTGAAATCAAAATCTAAAATTGAAATGATAAAATCAATGATGCTTAGAACTACTTCCTTTGTCCAACATAAATAATTAATTGTATTTAATACCACTAAGTTTTACAATATCGAATTATTCGCTAAATTTTCACAGCCAAAAATTACAATTAGTTTTTCTTTTCTCTCAAATATTGTCTAATTTAATTATTTCAAATTAAATCAACGCCAATAATCATATTTCTTAATGGCATTTTAAGTGAAGCATTCAGCATTAATGCAAAATTTATAAACTTTAATTCGGGAATGAGAAAATAGTGCAGCAAAAAAGAAAAACGAAGAGAATGATAAAAATTTTGTGACAGATAATCGGTGACAATAGATGAAAACTTCATCTATCACATTTGATGGTCGAAATTCTTTCGTTATCATTTTATCAGTATGTGCAATCATTTGTGCATTAACATTGTCATTGTCAATATGCCTGCAAAAGTATTACTTTTTTTTGTCGTTTTTGCAAACAATGTAAAATCAATTTTCTCTATTCAATTGTAACATACAAAAAAAGAAATAAAAAACATAAAATATAGAAAGGATAGAAAGAGAAATAAAAAAAAAGAAACAGCAAACTTTTTTAAAAAAAAAAGAACTGTGGAATAGTAAATTGTATTGGCATTATGATATCAACAACTGATTAAATTGAAAAAAAAAGAGATATTTGAGCTTTCAATTGAAAAACATGGAAAAAAAAGTGAAATAAAAAAATAAGTAAGCGAAATGGACTGATAAAGGAATTACAGTAAGTGATAAGTGATTAAATAAATAATATGTCAATAAAACAATAATTGTGGAATGCATAGAGAAATGATAATTAGTACTAAAAGTAAAATAAATTTTTACCTAATAGTTCCACCAAATTTTTCAACAAAAAACTTTCTTGAAATATTTCGATCGAAATATTCGATATATGAATAAAACATTACATCGCTATCTAAAAAAAAAGTTTTATCTAAAGTTTCAGCATTAGCATAAGTATCTTACAAATATCATCTATTGAGATAATGCATAAATTATTGCGATTTTATCAGAAAACATCATTAACTAAACATTGATTTGATCTAATTAAGATCAAATCTAATTAATAGGAATGCTTTTACGTAAGTAAGTGAAGAGACAATCTAACAGAGATAATAATTATTTGAATGATTTTGATTACATGGAGGGAGAATAATTGCTTTACTATAAATAAAATAAAGAAATAAAATTGAAGAAAGTGAAAGAAGAGCAAATATGAAAGGCAACAATTTCATTTCAGTGATTTCAGTAAATCTCTCATTAGCATTTCATCAACTGTATACCACTAGCAGGTCCACTCCAAAACAACACTTCCAGATCGGACTGTTTGATGTCAAAAAGCGCAACGGCGCAACCACCCCAGCCAGCTCCTGTAAGTCGCGCACCTAATGCACCATTTCGTAAACAATTCTCCACCTAAAATTTCATTTATAATATGTAATGCAATATGCAAAACACTTTACGTACAATAGTTTCTATTAATTTGATTAAAATGTAAAATATTTAGAATATTATAATACCAATTTTATCATTAACTATCATTTATCATTAACAATTGATAAGCAATACTTTTAAATCTTAAAAATGGAAGAAAGAACTGACTACTTCATCTAATTTATTGCAGGAACATTCGAATAGTTCCTTACAGCTATTATGACTTTCGGTCATCAGTTTTCCCATCTCTTCCA